ATAGCCCGGTGACCTATACATGTGTTCTGGGACACTCCCTGAGGCAGCAGAGCAGGCAGAGCATGGTAGGTAATGTTTCTGTAGGAGAAGGTGGGTGCTGCTGCCAGGGTCTGTCTTTACCTTTGAGGCTTAGTTAGGAACTTGGGACCCTTGAGATCAGTGATCAATGTGGGTATGCTTACATGCAAAGGAGGAACTGAGACTTTTAACATTTGTGTTATGTGCTGGGCGTTCAGCTAGGAGTTTTATAGATCTCATTTCACATATTTCATGACAATCCTCTGTAGATGGCATTATTAAGCTCCTTTTAGAGAGACTGAGGCTCGAAGACAGTGGATAACCTGCCCAGGTGATCCAGCTGGTCAGTGGCATAGCCAAGCTGCAAAGCCAGCTGTGTCTTACAGTATAGCCCTTCTCTCTGTGGCTCGTTGTGGGTCACATCCCTGTTAATCAGAGTGCCTGCTTGTCCTCAGTACTATTTATAGGAGTAATGATTTTTTTGGGGGGGGACACAAATGCTACATAGTAGTACTAGAAAATCCCTCATGAATATTTAAACAGTTTTTTTTTTGCATTTTCCCAGGTTTTTGTTGTTTTCCACCCAACCCATCATATTTTCAGGGTAGGGTATTCTGTGTTTTTCGTATCCCCCACCAAACCTCATTTGTCCCATATGAGAGGCCTAGATCATGCCCTTGTTTGGTGAATTTGGCTGGGCTGGTGCAGCAGCGGTGTGTGGGAGTCCCTCTGATCTGTCTTCTGCCTGCGTTGCTCCCAGCAGAGGGATGCTGCTGTGGCTGCCACTTCAGTCTTAGCAGATGGAAAGGCTTTTTACTTGCTCCCGCGTTTGGGTTGGTTTTCCCACTCTTGTGAAATTTCACTTGTGATGTGTTTCAGATGAAGCTGCATGAGGAGATCCAGCTCTTTAAGCCACAGGGAAGATTAACTACTGTGCCATAGCCTGGTTTGGCGCTGGATGACATGTCTGGGTCTTATTTCACTAGACTTCCAAGGGAGCCACTGTGTTATATTCCTTGACTATAGTTTTGGCAAATGTGTTGCCTGGATTTCAGAGTTCTGTGAGTTCTTCCAACTTTGACCTCATGTTTTTTTCTCCCCTTGGGTTTTTTTTTTTTTTTACCCTTTCCCATAGTTGTGAAATTCAGAACACAAACACTACAGTCTCCCGTATTTCCAACTTTGCTTCCTACCCCTTTCTTAAGGTCAGACTCAGCTAGGTGGTGCCCCTGGGCCTGCTCTCCTGCTCAGGCCTTCTAACCTCATCCCCTTCATTGCGGCCCTCTGTGCTCTTTCCTTTCACAGTCTCTCCTCCTGAGTGCCTCTCTGTCTGCCTTCTACTGCATTGCCACTCAAAGTCTGGGTTCCTGACTTGAAGCATTGGTATCAGTTGGAAGCCGGTTGGAAGTGCAGAATCTCAGGCCTCACCCCAGGTTTCCAGATCAGAATATGCATTTTCACAAGGTCCGCAGTTGATCTCTATGCACATTCAAGTTTGAGAAGCACTGCTCTAGATCCCACTTCTTACATGGATTATGTCCTAATTACGGGGAATAGAGTATTAGAACCTATTCATTCTCTAGGAAGAATTGGATAAAGAGGTTTTTTTATCATGTCCATTTATTCATCTTTGGGCAATCCTTTTGTCATGTTTAGGGACAGGAACAAATGAATATGTTTAAGAATAAATGGCTTTGGGGCTGGCCCCGTGGTCAAGTGGTTAAGTTCGCGTGCTTCGCTGCAGGCGGCTCAGTGTTTCGTCAGTTCGAATTCTGGGCGTGGACATGGCACTGCTCATAAAACCACGCTGAGGCGGCGTCCCACATGCCACAACTAGAAGGACCCACAACGAAGAATATACAACTATGTACCGGGGGGCTTTGGGGAGAAAAAGGAAAAAAGAATAAATGGCTTTGCCTACCCGTATGAGTGAAGTTAGGGCATTGGGAAAAGTTAGGATAATTTGTTGATAGACTTACCAAGGAAGGATTCAAGTAGCAACCATCATCACTCTTTTGAAAAGAAATGGAAGGGGTAGTTCTGTGGAAATGCTGTTTGATTCAAGAAATATTTATAGTTTTCAAAATATAAAATATAAAAAATATATGTTTGGGCTACTGTAACAAAATACCATAGTCTAGGTGGCTTACAAACAACAGAAATTTATTCCTTATAGTTCTGGAGGATGGAAGTCTGAGATCAGGGTGCCGGCGTGGTCAGCTGGTGGCGGTCTTCCAGACTGCACACTCCTCACTACTTCGCGTAGCAGAAGGGGCGAGCTAGCCCTCTGGGATCTCTTTCATAGGGGCACTAATCTCATTCATGAGGGTTCCACCCTCGTAACCTAATCACCTCCCAAAGACCTGCCTCCTAATACCATCCACTTATAGGTTAGGGTTTCAACACATGGATTTTGGGGAGGCACAAATATTCAGACCATAGCCAAACTATGCTAACAGGTACAAAATGAATAAATTTTGTACCTCTCTAGAAGGCAACTAAATAAAAAGTCTATATATAAACTAAAATAAGTGTTGGATAGGTAGGTAGAACACCTAGTTCTTCTTTCTTTAAGTGTATTTCTACCCTGTTTGTGGAAATATTACTTATTATGGGGGTTCAATGATAGCACAGGTCATATCCCAAGGTGGAGTGACTGGTGTTTTTTCCTAAGGCAGGTTTCATTGTGTCTTTAAGCATTAGAGGCTCTGCTGTGTGGAAAGGCTGGGCAGTAAAATGGATGGCGTAGGAGTGGGGATAGGGGCCCCCTTGCCAAGTGGTGAAGAGAGCAATGATGCTACTTGGAAGCTGAATGGGGCTGAGTGGTCAGACTGACGCCAGTCCACTCCTAGGTCCCCCACCTCCTCTTTGATGTGCCCTCACACTGCACCTGGAGTTGTATTAGTAGGGATGGTATCTGTGTCCCCCTTTTTTTTCTTTAAATCCTCAGGACCTTTAAATGTCCAACTGGTACCTCTAAGACCCAAAACTTCAGAGGGATAGAATTTGGTAAGTTATATCCATAGATTTTCTAAAAGAGTTTCTCTCTCTCTCTCTATCATGCACACACACACACACACACACACACACCAGTTTGCTCACTATGATGTCTGAGAACCTGATGCTCTAGATAGGAAGTGATTCCAGCCATCTAAATGCAAAGGGCTAAAAAACATGTTTTTCCAGACTCTGTTCCAACTTTGCTTCAATGAAAAAAATTTTCCTTTCATATGAGCATTGATTGTTTATTTGCATTTTGATTAATGATTTGAAAGTTTGGAGTTAGAAAGTAGGAAGGCATTTGTTTACGTTGACTATAAAATGGTGAGAATGTGGAGCACACATACTTTCAAAAAGCGTTATTCTGATTTCTGTGAACAACAGGGACATCAGCTTAAACTGGACCCTACCTAATGCTGCTGGCCCTCAAAGTGGGCCATCCACACAATGAGCAAACGCTGGTGACTTGAAATAGGAGTGGCCTGGGCAGTGTTCCATTTCCCCTTCAGAAGTGTCTTAGGCTATCAAAACCTAACATCAGAAACAGATGGAAACTGGACCTCAGGTTTCAGATCTTGTTCAAAGGACAGGAGTTGCCGAATTGAAAAGTGTCAGATTTAGAAAACCTGTAATCAGTTAATGGATGAGGGAAATGCGGAAGGTTAAGTGTTGTTACATAATAAAGAGAAATTAGAAAAATTAGTGATTTTCTTAGTTTATCCTTGGTCAAAAGCAAGGTATGTATATATGTTACGTGTCATAGTATTTTGGCCAAGTTATCTGACTGGGGTCTTGTTAATTTGAGAATTAAGTAACACTGGGTCTGCAAAGATTTCAGCCCAAATTGGAATATTCTCGTCGGGCAACATTAAGTTAACTCAGAGTTAACTAGACATTTATTATTACTGAAAATACTTACAGGATGCATAAATATACTTTTCTTTCATCATAAATGCATAACAACATAAAGGAGGTTTCTTTGATGACTTAAGTTATTCTTGTGGCTCTTGGACAACACCTTGGGAGTGAGTAATGTGGTTCTGGTAACTTTGATTGAGGGTTAGTATTCGACTGAAGCTTTATAAGAATCATCTGGCAATAAGTTAAAACAACCATCCAAAACCGATATGAACTTGACTATTGCAGAAAAATGTGGTTTATTGAAGTTGCCCATTTGTTTGATTTCAAACCTTTGTTGTTTTATGTCTTTATAGAAAACGTTTTTCTCCACAGCAGTTTCCTAAACTTGGCATATGAAGCATTATCTTCCTGCATTGTTAATATGGATTCAATGGTGACACTTTATCTACTGCAGGACTTCTCAGAGCCCTTGACAGTACTAATATTCCCCATGACTCTTAGAGTGCGATACAGTGTCTGATATTTTCTAAGCTTATTTCACATTACCTGCCAACTCCCCTGCCTTTTTTTTTCATTGATGGAATGTCTACCATGAAATATAGTTTGGGAAATGATGCTCTAGCATTTTCATATGTATTTTCTCATTTACTATCACAGCAGTCCTGAGAAACAGAAACATTTTTTTTTTTGGCCCCCTTTGGATGAGGGAGGAGCTAAGACCCACCAGAGTTCAGGCTGACACCAGGACCCAGGTCTCCTAATCGCTCTCTCAGGCTTTTCTCTCTCTGTCATGGCCTTCAGTTCCATTGGGAGGCACTTAGTCGTGGCAGGGCCCTGTGCTGGCAGAGTCGGACAGTATCTGGGTGATGATGCCGATTTGAAGTTCCTCTGTTCTGTGGTTGGTCCATGGTCACCTGCAGAGGCCTTTCTAATTCTAATGAGTTGATGATGAGGGTGAGAGAGTTAGTTCTCATGTAGCTTCTTCGCACTCATGGTTTAGGCAGCCCTTGAGGTATGCTTTTAAGCATGAAAGGTGCCCAGATACTCAACTGTGGTTCACTTGTGTTTTGCTCCCCGATTTTCACTCCATCATGTTATATCATGTTTTTCTCTTTTTATAGAAAGAAATTCAAGCCATGAGTCAGTGCAGCCATCCCAACGTAGTGACCTATTATACCTCTTTTGTGGTTAAAGATGAACTTTGGCTGGTCATGAAATTACTAAGTGGAGGTAAGTGGGTTTTGTTATTGTTTGTTTGCTTGTTTTTTTTTTTCCTTTTTGTGTGACCAAGCATATTGCATAAAACTAGATTTGATCTTCTTACTCCCGTATTTAAAAGCTTTGCTTGGTTTATTATTTGCTTCAAGAACAAAGTCCAGGAACCTTCACATGGCTACTCAAAGCCTTTCACAGTTCGGCTGAACTTCCTAGACTGTCCTGGCCTTCCTGGTGTAGGGGAGGCTCACCGAATACCTTCTGCATCTGATGGCTCGGTGCCCTCCCTGCGCTGTTCCTCTGCCCTAGATGTCTATCCGTGCTTCTCCATGTGCTTAAGTCCTAAAAGGCTACGTCCTCTCTACAGCCACCCCTTCCTCTCTTCAAAAGATTTAATCAGTCTTTCCTCTTTAAACTCTTTGTTTTTAATATTATTCAAGTCCTTAACATATTGCAATATAATGAATTATTTCATTGCTGTTTATTAAAAGTTCTGTGATGATGGAAATGTTCTTTAGCTGTGCTTTCCACTTTCTACTAGTTACTGTGGCTCTTGAACACTTGACCTGTGGCTAATGTTACTAAGGGACTGAATTTCTATTCAATTTTAATTAGCTTATATTTAAATAACCTCAAGTGGCTAGCGGCTATGGTATTGGACAGTGCAGATTTAGATTGTGGACTTCATGAGGAAAGCACGGTGTAATGAACTTCTAACTCATTGAACCTGGCACCCTGGGGGTGCTCAATAAATGTTGTTTCAAATGAAATGGGGAGAAATTTCTGCATGCTAAATTATTTGCTTGCCATGTTGATCAGAAGTGACACTATTTTCATCTTAGGTTAGCACATGGGAAGGGAAGTAGCTTTCCCACTCTAGTCTCAGATCACTGAAGTTATAAAAGCCATTAACAGTTTGGTTTATAAGGCAACTTCACATTCTTGTATTTTATTTCTTTTAATCTTTTAACATCACTAGTTGAGAAAGAATGATAATGATAACCGTTAACTTTACTGGACACTTGCTCTCTGACTAGGTCCTGTTCAATGCAATTTACTTACCTTATTTCATTTAACCTGGACAACACTCTGAATGGCAGGTTGACGCCACCATCCCTGTTTTTCAGGAAGTACACCAAAGCTCCAGAGAGTTAAGCAGCTTGCTCAGGGCCACACACATGGTAACTGTTAGTGTGGGAATTTGTGAGTGTAGGACATGTTGCCTTAAAAGCTATGCTATGCTGCAAATATTATCACCTTCATTATACGGCCCCGAAAATTGAAGCTTAGGAAGACCAAGTGATTTCCTTTGTACCACTCAGCATACCCATGTCTCTCACTGTTTGTATATCTTTCTGAGATATGAAGTATGGTGTAGGAACAGAGGAGAACATTTCATGGTGCCTGGACGGAGCCAAAAGTGACATAGCAGAATTTCTATTGTCAAGCCCATTTTCATCTGCAGACCTAGTTCCAGCTAAGGCTGAATCAGGGAGGCATTTTAACTTTTTTTTAAAAGAAGCTGTCTTCGATCAAGCAGAGGCCCAGAAATGAGATGATGAATGTGTTGTAATTGCCTTGGGTCTGCTTGTGTGGGTCTCGATGGGGAGCCTGGGAGAGCTTAGTTCATTTCTGTTCCCAGTCTTGTCAATCCTATTAGTCATTGTTTCCTTGAGTGGCTACTTTAATTTTTAATTAAAAAGGAGAAGAAAAAAAGGAGAAAAAAAAAAGAGAAAAGAAGCCTAGCTGGAGCCAGCCTGCAGTGTTGAGTGTGGGGACTGCTGCTTGGTTCTGCAGTGGCTGGTGCTGTGTCAATAAGAAGACCTTAACTTAATCTCTTCCTGTGGGGTTCCACCAACTCTGAGGAAACGAGAAATCTTGGTGAGCTGGGGCCCTGGATAGCCCCAAATATTCTGTTCAAGCTGAGGACTTTATTTCCTCTCTTTATTTTTATCTCAGCCTTTTATAAGCTTGAGACTATCCCATCTCCTTTCCTGAGAACTTGATAGAAAATTTCATTGTCTTTTTAAAAGAATCTAATTTAGTCTCCCTGGGCTTTAGGTAAGAGGAACAGGTGTTAAACAGCTTTCCACAGGTGAGGAGAATGTGGGCAAATGTGGACTCTTGCTCAGTTTTCTTTCAGCAGGCCAGAAATGCATACATGCCTGGTGTGGTATAGCCTTAGAAGATAAAAATAAAATGTTTTTGGGAGTTTCGTTTTCTAAATGATCCAAAAATCCAAGAGTCAATGAGTAAGGAGGTGTTTCGTTTCTCTCTGAGGGGGAAAAGATTTGCATTTGTTTTCTTTAATATTTAGTCATATCCAGTCTTTTCAGGAGGGGTGGGTGCCTGGTCTGGTGCAGTAATACTGCATGGGGAAACTCAATCCTCTTAGTTACTCACAGAGGGCCTCGAGCCAAATGCAGGTCCTGAGGTAAGCCATTTGTTAACTTCTCAGAAATGTTGAACCCTCAGGTAATTACAGCTTTTAAAATGACCCAGAGATTTGGAATATTAATTAATATGTGTTGAAACATGAATTCACAGCGCCAAGGATACTAATCTGTTTATAGTAACAAAGGGCTGTGTATTTATTTCATTGTTATAAAAGTGAGTACATGACGCATCAAGTAAATGAAAATAAAGATGGCCTAAAGTCACAGGAAGGACTTCTGGTTATAAGCAAGGATCTAGAGGCGCATGCTTTTTTTCTCGGCTCCTGCCTGTGCTCTAGACGTTAATGACGGTGTTCAGCAGTTCACTGCTGTCTTTTCTCCTGGCCTCCTGTTCCTCTTTTTCAGTTCAGACATCTGGATCCGTCTTTTGAGTCTGTAACCAATTGTATGTCTAGGGAAAAGGGACCAATCCTGAAATGGCCCTGACTAGTCTTCTGGTTCCTGAGCCAGAATCCTCTCCTTAAGTTCACACTGAAAGTGCTGTTATAAACTTGGACGTAGTGTTTCTGGTCATCCTGTGCCATGCAATTGTTTGTATGTCTTGGGAATATTTGTGTTAAATGAACAAAAAGCATGTTTTGCTGTTCCTGTTTAATTTCCTCAGTAGTGGAGCCCTATCTGGAAAGGTAGTGAAGGTGTCTACACAAACTTTTCAATTCTTCTGTCCGTCCCCTTAGGTTCAATGTTGGATATCATAAAATACATCGTCAACCGAGGAGAACACAAGAACGGGGTTCTGGAAGAGGCGATAATAGCAACAATTCTTAAAGAGGTTTTGGAAGGCTTAGACTATCTGCACAGAAATGGTCAGATTCACAGGTATGATTTCTGCAGAGATGTTTAAATTCAGCTGTTTGTATCTTTAGTCCTAGTTTGTAAAGTATATTAAGGAAATACATATTGCAGGTAGGTATCAACATTATTTCTAACTTAGGCCGAATAGATGGGAAAAAAGTACTTAAGGAAGAAACAAGACAATAAATTTTGATGAATTATATTGGTATCCTCAGGATTGGTTTATCTGCTTTCATTGAAATAAGAACAGAATATAAAAGTACTGAGTGGGCTCATTAAAGAAGTCAGTGAACATACTACTCTTGAAGTGTGCTCAGTCGAACTGGATAGCATCTCTAAACGTCTAGTACAGGCAGAACTGTTCCAAACATCGTAATAGGTTAATGATTTTTGACATGAGGTGAGAGGGAAGGAGGAGGCACTAAGTTCATCTTCTTTTATGACATAAAATGCTACTTCCTTAAATAGCCAAACAGCATAGAATATGAGTGCTTGATGTTTCAAATGGGTTAGTACTACTTGGGCTTTTAGGAATAGTTGCAAATAAATAACCATTTACTAGTAAAACTAATATTGTATAAGTGAGGTATATACTAAATGATATCTACTATATATTTCAATAATTAGAAAAAATATTCCTTTAGAAATCAAACTTATAAATTGTCATTTTTCTTTTTTTCTTTCTTTCTTTTTTTTTTTACTGAGGAAGATTGGCCCTGAGCTAATATCTGTTGCCAATCTTCCTCTTTTTGCTTGAGGAAGATTTGCCCTGAGTTAACATCTGTTGCCAATCTTCCTCTATTTTGTATGTGGGTCACTGCTGTAGCATGGCAGCTACCAAGTGGTGTAGGTCCATGCCTGGGAATGGAACCTGGGCTCCTGAAGCAGAGTGCACCGAACTCAACCACTAGGCCACTGGGTCAGCTCCATCATTTTTCTTTTTTAAATAGTAAGACTTCTATAGAGTGAAGAAATGTGCTATAGAATATCATAATTAGTGTTTATAATTAGTATCTCCCCAGAGCAGAGACTGAGCAAATCCATTGTTTACGAGGCTGATGGGACTAATTTGGAATCGCACCGCAGGCAAATTTAAGTGGAAGTAGAACAGCTTTACATGGAGTGGGCTTTAACTCTTAATAAAGTGATGATGTTGCGAGGTGATGGATAATCTCTAACTCTGTAAGATAAACTAAAGAATCTACTCACTAGTGGTTTAAGTAAAGCTGGATGATGATTTCACATAAAATATTTGTTACCTAAATCCTAACCACCCCCTAGGAGCAAACTATAAAGTCACAGTGGACCCTTGTAACTTTCAAAACCTGTGATGAAACTTTAATTTTATAAAATAGTAATTATGTCAAACCAGCTGCATTATATGATGTGTTTTAAAATCTTCCTGGGTGAATTAATGTAATATAGTGTCTATACACCACAATTCATTCTCCATTTTTTTTCTCGTAGAGATTTGAAAGCTGGTAATATCCTTCTGGGCGAGGATGGTTCGGTACAAATAGCAGGTAAAGCTGATAAAGATAAAATTCTTTGCTTGTTTACGGAAGTGTTGCAGAATCGTTCCTAAGAAATGAATAAATGCGTGTAATCTGTTTTAAGAATGCATCTGGGCTGCCCCGTTAGAGAATATTTGGGTCTGAGGCAGAACATTTTTCCTCTTGTTTTGATAGGTCTTTGTTAGATCATCCTATAAATAATGCTATTTTAGTACATAGCCTTTTGATGAAGAGCAATTTTACTTTTAATTTTATTATATTTTCCACCTTTCACATTGAATAATGGCGATATTTATATAACTGCAAGAAAAGCACTTTTGCGAGTTTTTGGATGAGTTTGAAAGTTTAAAGCATTGTACACATTAATTTAAAACCTTTATCTCTGAAGAGGTGGCTGAAAGGATAGTGGACTCTTAGAAGCTAGGGCTTATTTTGCTCTTCAATCTGACCCTACGTGGCTGTTTCTTGACAGATGGTGGGCGTGCCGATGCAGGATGGTTGCTGAGTGAATGCATCCTTCTATGTGCAGAACCTCTCATTCTGTTCTTGCTTCTAGAGTTCCTGAAAGGCCTGGGATAAAACGTAGCCATGTCCACGTGAACTCTTGTTTTAACCCATGTCCGTGAAGGTCTGTCTCAGCAATGCTCAGCCATCACTGCTTTTGACATTTTTGGCTGGACAGTCCTTCCCTGTCCTGGACTGTTCCTGTCATTGCAGGGCGTGTAGGCTTCTGGCTTCCAGGCATTAAATATAAATAGCAGCATGTCCTAGCAACATCCTTGGTGAGAATCTCTGGTCTTGCTTCTGTTGTTGAGGCGTGTTGAAGTTTGCCCCAAATGTTTAATTAGCCACGTCTGCTGCTTTTTTGAGTTGGAGTGGAAGAGTCTTCTCTTCTAGCATAATTCTAAGGTTTTTGCATATCTAGTTATTAGACCAAAGTTATCAAAGTCCTTGCTCCCAGTCTTGTTTCTAGACAAATCGGAGGACCTAGGGTTATTATTAGAAATGCGGGAGTTCAGCAGAAACCAAACACACCCCCAACACAAAGGATAAGCCTTGAGTCATCTCTTTGATTCATCGTTTGCCCCTCTCTAGGTGCCAGAGAACCTGTCAGGGAAGGCCCTGGCCTGTATGACGGGCACAGTGCTGACCTTAGGCTCTGTGTTCAGTTAGGTCCACATCGGGGGCTTTTATTTATTTATTTTTAAAAGAGAGAAAAGATGTTTTGAAAATACAAAAGGGAAACTGAGAATTTGTTTCAAAGCAAATGTTTCTTCCCTGGAGAACTAGTAATGAAAGTGTCATCTTTTCTTAGCCCTCCCCTTTGAAAAGATAAATTTAGTCAAATACAGTCCTTGGTTTAAGACCCCTGGAGAGGCACTCTGTGTCTCAGTTAAGCACAAAGGCTTTGGAATCAAACAGGCCTGATTTAATACCCACTGTGCAACTTGGGGCAAGTTATTGCCTCTCTAAGCCTCAATTTCCCCACCTGTGAGATGGTGATGATAATGCCTGTCATTCAGGAAGACGCAGATTTCCTGTGCAGCTGCTGAAACTGAAGATGCAGGCCCCTGTAAGAGCAGTGTGTCTCCAGGAGGAGCAGAGTGTTGCACGTGGAGAGAAGCCAGTTTGCAATCAGGAGGTATTTCTATGTAGGCATTTTTGTTAAATTGTCTGAAAAGATCCTAGAAGAAAGGACCTTAATCTTTAAGACTCCAGTGAATTGAAATGAATTTTTAATTTTAAAGAAATACACACATACTTAATTTTATATGCATAATTCTGTATTCGAACTTAACCACTCAGCCATGGGGCCCGCCCCCTGTATTTTATTTTTTAAAGAGGATCTTCCAAATTGTGCAAGGTTCATGATCTGTGAAACCCGCTCCACCCCTGCTTATAAGGTTTTTGCAATAAGTAAACAAATGTCAGAGATACTTAGTTCAACCAAAAAAAATAAAGGGCAATAGATAGGAACAGATAGTATGTATAAGCTTATTTATTGGAGCATTCTTTGTGATAGCAAAAGACTATCCCGGTTAAATATGGTATATGGTATATGTTATATCGGCATTATGGAACACTCACCAGCTGTAAGGGAGAACGGAGAGCTCTCTATGCACTGACCTGAAAAAAATTCCCCATGCTACGTGGTTAAGTGAATACAACAAAGTGAAATGCAATGTATATAATATGCCACCTTTTGTGGAAGAAATGGGGATAAATAAGAATATCTCTCTATATTTTTACAAAGAAACACTAGAAGCATAATGGGCAGTGGGGACTGCTTAGTGTATACCTCTTATAAGATTTTGAATTTTGAACCGTGTAGAGGTGTGACCTATTAGAACAAGTGAAAGGAAATGACTCAACAACCTTAATAAAGTCTCAATAAGTCAAAGCCATTTTTAAACCTTTTATTATGAAAATTTTCAAACATAGCCCAAAGTACAGAAGAGTAGGAAGAACCCTCTTGTACCTGCCACCTGGCTTCGGTAATTATCATTCTTGGCCATTCTTGGTTCATCTATCTTCCCACTCCCTACTTTGGTGGCTTTTATCATTATTAATGCTGAATTTTGCTCTTGAGCCATCTAAGTTAGCTCCTTATGTGTGCATCTCTTGTCCTTACTCTAGAGAGTGGTCTTTATACCCTAGGCTAGGGGCATTCTGAAGAACATACTTCAACTAAGCAAGTGACAACAGAAACAATTCATAGACAAAAGCTTCAAACCGTCCAGCACCAGCGTAGTCTAGTTGTTAAGATACAGGGTCTGGGATTCACTGGCTTGGTTGAAATTCCCAGGTCACCACTCAAGCTCTGTGACCTTGGTTAAGTTTCTCACCCTCTTTAAGACTCAATTTCCTTAAGGGGAATATAATCCACCTCATCTTTTTTTGTGAAATCAAATGAAACTCTTCGTCTTTAGTGATCTTAACAGTGGGTAGCACACAACAGTCATGCAGTAAATATCTACAGCTGCTGCTCCTTCTCATCCGACCATCATGACTATTACTACTGTTGCTGCTGTTACTACAACCAGGGTCACACTGACTCCTCCTTGCACTACCTGGAGAGCACATGTACCTTGGATTTGTCTTGCAAGAGCGTCCGGTCTGAGGGGCTTTATGAGTTAGAAAAAGGTAATGGTTATTAATTATGGAACTTGGAAGTTAACTTGTCATTAATCGTGCTCTACGCTGATGAGGAAGTGCAGCTAATTTTCTCTGTTTTGTGACGGAATGATATTTCTCACTGAAAGGGTCAAAACAGCAGTGATCTGCCTTTGAAATGCGAAGGCAGCTCAGCCCCTGCCTCATTCTGCCTCTTGTTTCTCTGCCAGTCACTTCGTCCAGTCATTCTTGTCAGATTAATGATCTGAGCTCCTCCTCTGGGCCTTCTGGAGCACATTGTCCTTTTTGTTTTTTTTCTTAGTTGGGATCCCCTGAGGTAAGATTTCCTGACTTTTTCTCTTTCTCAGAGGCCTTTGGGTTTTTTCCTCTCTGTGGGTGGTGGTGTTGAGTGTAACCCAGCACACACTTGCATGTGGGGCTGCTGGGTTCAGAAGGGCACACGCAGAAAGCCACCACCTGGTTGCTGTGGGGATTAAATGAGTCAGTGTGTAAAGCACTTAGAACACTGCCTGGCACGTAGTGAGGACTCTGTGTGCAGCCGTTCTGGGTTTTCCTTGATATCCTTTCTGTGTGTGTGACTTCATGCTTGTGTGATAACACAAACTGGAATGCCATTCCCCGGATGTATAATGGGGGGTGGGGTGAACAGGCATTTAAATGTGCACTTTCTACATCTCTGGTTAGCTTGCTAGACTTCACATTTAATTTTCTCTACATTCTCTGACCTGAGCACAACATTGAATTCATACAATATTTAAAATTAATTTGTTTTTTTTTGGTTTTAACTATGAAATAAGATTGTTGCCTTAAAAAACATTGATATTTCCTTGGAACAGGTAGATGCTGCTTCTATCCTCATTTTAGGAGTTTGACTTTCTTGGTCAGGCAGTTGATTGGTCACTGCCTGAACAAAAACTAGGACCAGGAGTCTTGGGTCTTTTGCTGGCATCTTTGTCTGGTGGGTGAAGTAGGGGAGGACGGTGAGAGAATCGAAATCCGTCTTAGCAACAGCAGAGCCAGATAATCTCTTTTTGTTGCTACCTATTATATTTGGACAAATAATACATTGCTTTGCTCAGACAGTCTGTGCCCTCTTCCCTTTTACATCTTTATGCTTTTTAGGCCCTGTTTTTTGAAATAAAAGTTAAGCAGGGGAGAAGTTTATATTTCTTTGAATGCAATGTTTATTTGTTTACCTTGAGAGTATTATGAACATTGTTTTTAAAAATAGAATTGCTATTCTAATAGAAAACTTTATTTTTCTTAAAAAACTCACTCTACCCCATAAATATATATTCTCTTTCTCAGAACTTATTAGCAAAGGGGAAAATTTAGGGGCCTTGTTCAGACCACGAGAAACTCTCGCCTTATTATGCAGCCAACAAGTGCGGTGAATATAGCTAAGATGTTTGGTTCTGTTTCCAACAGTGCAAATTCTGCGGGGATTATATACGTTTCTCTTGACTGTGGATATAAAATCAGTAACTAATATGAATTGAGTGCTTCCTATGGGCCAGGCTGGGTTCCACATGCTGAGCGCATTGTGACCCATTCAGTCCTCACCACAGCCCCATGGGGAAGGTGCCATTTTATGTCCATTTTACAAATGAGAAACTAAGGTGCAGAGAGAGGAAGTAAGTGGCCTGGATCACATATAGGCTAAGCGGTGGAGTCAGGCTTCAGATTTGGGCAGTCTGGCTCCAGAGCCTGTGACTCCACGTCTATGGGATTTCCAGGGAGAGCATCCTAAATCTGGATTTAAATGATCTGTTTCTGATGGAAGACCAACAGCAGTCACCAGCTCTCTGACATCCCTGCCTAAGCGGATTCCATTTTGGGCCAGGGAACGTATTCAGCACCTTTTTCCTTCTTGC